CTGCGCTTTCAATCTTTGAATTTTTTGAGAGCTTGTGACAGTTGCTCTATAGCAATCTTTGATCCTTCCAGTTTTGTGAAAAATGGTGAAAATTCATATAAATGCCGGATCTATTCATGTTATTCATGAGCTATAGATACCTTGAACTTCTCGATGACTTACTGAAGCCAAAAAAATGTCATGTGCTTTATCCCAACGGCTTCAGTGCTTAAATTCCGCCTCAAGTACGGCTTAGATGTTATATTTGATAGCACAAACTAGTACAAAACGAGTTCCACGTCTTCGCACATGACCAAGATATGCAAATATCCATTAGGGGAAAAGGACAGCTATGAAAACAAATAGAATTATTCGTAGACACTTATATCTATTCGTCTAGTATTCATTTGAGTTTGCTCTGACAATTATCGTTCTTCCCATGCACTTCGCGAAGATCTACTTCTAATAAGTTAAGTGTTGGTTTAAAGACTATAGCGAAAAATATTCCGAATAATCACTAAATGCTCTATTCAAGATTTTTTGGTCCTCCTCCTCAAGACAGAAAAGGGTGAGGAATCTCAAGGTTGTCTCTATGGAACTTTTATTGAAGTGTTTTTTTCGCATTGCGAATTTTAGAAGCATTGATACACGTAAACCAAAAGAATATTGAAATTTTGAAAACGTTCTGAGACTGCTGGAGTTCCAGCAGTTAAATGATATAGTCGTTAACTTCTTGAAATAACCAAAAACAACATTCCTACGCTTTCGTCATGAATATGTACGTCGCGGCTGAAGAATCTGTTGCGTCCCCCAAGAGCTAGAAGCTCATTTGCATCTTCTTGGGGGGGGGGACAGAAAGGGGAGCAGTCTATGGATACTTGCCCATGGACATTCACTAAATATGAATTAATGCTATAGTTTTATACAGTAGTTTATGAAAATACGCCACTGTTTGCGTAGTGGGAATCAGATCATTTTTGAACTCATAAACAAAATGACTGCTTTCAGACGCATCAAAAATGTCAAAACTCTTGGTTCTTTCCCCCCCCCCCCTCCCTCAACTTTTAGAATACCCGTAGTAAGCTCAATACAGCGTTAGGACAATCACAGAAATGTTTGGAAAGTGAATACCTAAGTCTCCTACAATCGAAAGATTTTCTTAAATGGAGTGATCTAGAAAACGTAGATCTTTTCGTTCAGGAGTCAAGATTTCAATAAAATTCTTTGCCTTCTCCTTTTGCCTTTATTTTTGTTATTTTAGTTTTTTTTTCAATGTTTCCACTTCGTTGAATATCCATCAACAAGCCAGTCAACAGAATAGCAACAGAAAACCTAACAAACAAAGAACAAACAAAATGGAAACAAAGATGCAGAAAATTAAAAAGTAACGATAACAAAAAAGGAAGAAAAGTTCATAAATCCTAAAAATAACGAATAAACAAAAAAGGAACGAATACAAAAGTTTTCAAAAATAAACTCCTAAGTCTCCAGTTTCCTAACTCCTAAGTCAGCCAGTCTCTATTGGGAGCATTTGCGTTTCAAACAATCCAAATCTGCTTTTCGCACTTTTCGAATGCAGCCTCGATTTTTCAAAAAATCGCCATTTTTCAAATGCAGCAACACAATTTTGAGAAAAACCCGTCTCGTTGTTAACTCGTTATTGCCCTCAGTATTCCAACTAATCGCGCTAAACTGCGTCGAATTACTTTTCCACTCAGACGATTTTTTCATTTCCCAGACTGAAAATTGCATTATACTCGTGACTAATTCTACATGTGCTAATCATGCGCACAATGAACAAAGTCCTCCAGCAATGGTATTTGATCCACCGCAACTTATGTACTTGATCTTGATTGATTAATCTTCTCGCTTATCTTTCTAATCGTCTTTGGAAACACAGCGACGGAAAGACGCCGAAGAGATTAGTTAATCGGGAAATTTTTTCGATGTTGACTGTAGCCCGAGCTTCTATTTAGTTTAGAAATCATTCTGAGATTGCCAACGATTTGCGCTACTTCCTCAAAAGCAACTTTTGTTTATCATTTGGTGATCTCACAACTTTTTTACCGACTTCAACTTCAGTCGAACGCGAGTTTTCACAAAAACTGGTGGACTTGCAAAAGTGTAAATTTATGGTCTATTTAAATGCAGAAGAGGGCGTTTGATAAAAGACCGCTGGAGAATAATTTTTCTTTTTGGGCTCTTTATTTTTTATTATATCCAGCCAAAATCATGCAGTGTGTAGGTGAGTATTTAGTTTGCAATATTAGATTGTTACATATCTGAGTAATGTTGCACTTTATGCGTCCTGCCTTGGAAAACTCTGGTAAATTCGGCAAAGTCTCATTTTGGCATATGGTTAAGAGATGGAGGGCACTCCATTGGAATCATTTTTACCTTTCCGGAAATGACTTACAGTAGATACAAGTGCAATTTCCTAACGGCACTTTAACCTCCGTTTTTCTTCTTTTTGAATCTGTGATTCCTTTTTCCATTCTTTTTCATGGATTTGGGAGCATCATCAGGGACACGAAGGCTATTTGGAGTTCAAGCCTTCAACAACGTAAATTCGGAATTTGCCACAAATAATTCGAAAAATTTTCAGAAAATGCAAAAATTGTATTTTTCATGTGCGACATGCACATAAGGAAAATCCACAACATTTCACATTATATGTTTTCTGGAGAATATTTTTTAGAATGGAGATTTTTTCGTTCTGTAACAAAACTTATTTAAAAACCGAGTATAATTGTGACTAAGGGAGAGTTTGGTAGAATGCCAAGAATGCGTTAGAAACAGTCCTCAAACTCTACATGGAACATGATTTTTGGTTGGATGTTTAGCGCTCATTCTTCAGAGTTTGCTCTTCTTCTGTAACCCAATTCCCCCCCCCCCCGAAAATGACAATAAAATCTTATTGAGGAAAGTTTTACGAACAACTCGTAGTATATTAACAAATTAAAACGCTTCCTATTCAACAATTTCAAAGTGGCTACTGGTACTCCCTGAAAGTCCAACTACGGTAAATTCATCGTGCAAAACTGCACTCACTCAAATTTTCGAGCTTCCGACCCGATTCGTTCTCACCCGCCTTGGCGCAGCCGCCCTTGTGATTTTGTTGAGTAAACAAATCGAGGACGAGCGCACATGTGCTTTGGACAATATATGGTGTATGCTTATATGAAATCTGAGAGCATCTCGTTGGAAAGAGATCACATGAAGGAAATTGCAGATTTTCTCAGTATGCGCTCTTGAGTCTTGATTTTCAACTTTCAGTGACTGCAGTTTGAGTCTCATGTGATCGTCTGTAATAATATCCTTTGATTCTACAGTGGACTCCATGATATTTATGAAAAAATATGTGGGTGGTAAAAGCGACCCTACCCTGATTTTCTTACCTTTAGAAAGTTGGGCTTGACACTGTCAAAATCGAACCACATACTGTATGAAACTTCTAGACGTTTGCAGTTTGGAATTCAACTGAGCGTTTCCAAAGATGAAAAGAAGTTGTACTAAGCGCGAAGGCTAAGAAATGAAGAAAAACTCAACTTTCCTGCACAGCAGAATAGTGCAAGCAAAATTATTTTTGTCATTTTGGACAGTTTCCAATTGACAATTGTTTGGACAATTGTTTACCGGCTATGCTATGCCTCGATCTTGCTTATCATACTTTCTAGTCACAGAACAGTGTGGTTTTTGCAAGGTAAGGATTTGTCTTCCCATACATTTTCTCTCCTTTTAATTTTCGTCTATCGCGCATCTCTGTAATTCTCTTGAAAGTAAACAAATTTGAAACTATCTGATTACTGCATCGCAAATCGTGGGCGCATTTCACTTGATAAGAGGACCAGCTCTTTATTTTTAGCAAAATTCTAGCGGCACCAAACTCGATGTAGAAATATCTCAGCACTTGACACTGCTGCTTATTATCATATATCCTGCTTTACGAAAAATGGAAGATACGTTATGATATTATGGATGTCATAAATCATATGTAATTTGGTATCATGCGCTCTTATGTGTCAAGATTTTTTATGAAATGTACGAGCATAATCATTAGTAGTCTGTCATATCTATAGAGCGCACTTTTTTGAAGAAGAAAAGTTTTGTTTACTCCTGCAATGAACATCCTGCGAACTCAGAATGATTAATTTATGCGTCACATAATTATTGCATGCATTAGCGCATAGGTCAAATTAACAGCGAGAGTAATGATTATTATTTTTGTCGCAGTTCCGCGCGATCTTGCATGCCAATATGTGGGTTTGTGAGCCAAATTTTGTTTTATAATGTTCGTAGTTCCTGGTATATTGTACGCAGTGAAATTTTGCCTCGTAAGCTGTTTGTTATAGGTTGTCAAACGTCACACTCTGTTCCTTAAAGGAACTTCTGTACCATATCTTAGTAATTTATGAATTTTGCGAAGCTCACATACATGTGAAAATCGCGGAATCGGGCTTATATGCGGAAGCGATTGCGTACTTAGTTTGTCAAGGACCTCTTCGGTACATTATTTTAATCCATCTTGATAGTTCGTTAAGAAACTAGGGGAATCAACTTTTTGATTAAGAATATTGATACGTAACTTGACCGTTTATACCACCATAAACCTATTGTACCTCCACAATTTAGATAGTGCGATATATCGTGAGTTCCGTGTCTGCGCTGATTCCCTAGGCTGTGAATCTCACTTTCTGAAAAAAAAACGTAGACTCTCATTTCCAAGAATTCCTCGAATTCTAAGGTCATGACTATTTCCTCCATTATTTCGATGCCAAGAGAGGTTATCCTCGATAGGCATCTACAATATCACCCACAGAAAATCTTTTGAATGCCGCTGAATTCCGCGATCTTCGTGGAGTCCCGCAAAATTCCGCGACGTTCACGAAAATTTTGTTCGTTCTATGAGCGGTATCGTAATTGATCTTTCCGTTCCTCATATTTTCTTATTCTATTAGTTATCACATTTTCTCGTCTCTATTTTGGTCTAGTCGTGCTTCGTTTTACTTATGATTTTACAGGCCAGAAGCTGGAAGCTGAATCTAACCATTATATCAAAGAAGTTCTGAAGATAAACGATCCACCATAAGAAAAACGGTAAAGAGTGCCTGATTTACTGTGAAGATTTCACTACCACGTGGAAACTTATTTTTGGCTTATTTACATGGTAACTTAGGTTTGTGTACCTGTCCGCTAATCCATCCCGGCTAATCATTTCTATCAAACAAAACGATGCAACGCTGCGATTTTTTGTACCAGGTGCAAAATGAGATGAAAAAATCCCCCATCTTTGCTGGATCTATAGATTTTGTGATATCAGTACTTCGAACTACATTAACCCAAAAATCGCGTATTTCGCAAACGATTTCATAAGCGATAGACATTTTTAGACAGCTTTAACGCTTGTTTTCGTCTTCTGAATTGTTTTTCACACTATTACATACAATTTAACTTGTTCACGTATATATTTTACTTAAATTAATTGTATATTTCGTGTCAGACCTGCTCGAAATGGGCGTTAATTTGATGACACCCAATGTTATTCCATACATCTTCACCACCTTGTTCGCTCTATCGCACTTCTGTGCAAACAAAGTTTTGTCGTAAAATCTGGCCCGCTGCCAGCTTATACTGCCATTTTGGCAACTAGCCAAGTTTTAGACTCCTCAACTTTTTTGATTGATCACTGTGAATTTATTATTTTCAGAAAGAAAATGATGAATATGACAAATCTTACGGACATTGTCGAAGAAGATTGGATGGATCTTTGCGATGACGGATCTTTGCTGGATCAAAACGCTGTGCGATACCCTCTCATTTTAATCTACTTGATTGTGTTTACTATATGCCTTCTTGGTGAGTTTATTGCTTCTTCACAGGAAAACGTTGTGATTTCATGCAGGGAAAGAAGACTGAGCTTCAAGGATAACAATGAATAATTAATTTTGAATCTGTAAGTAATACTAAGATTCGAATGAGTGAGTGCAAACATGAATACTTCTATAAAGAAATAATTCTAATGCAATTTTATTGCACCCACTCGGGTACAATAGATTAACTATGAGGGAGTGAGACAAGCAATGAACGACCATAGTAGAGTAAAAAAATCAGCAACTTTAATTTGAGCAGTCAAAATCCTCCTTACTCGTTGTTTAGGCCCAATTTGACCATTCGTTTCGGTTTCGGGTAATTGTTATCCACAAACGTCTTAGTACTGCGATTGATGCATGATCCTGTATTAAACCCCTACTGCTGGCATCTAATCTATTAGGTCGTTTCATAAGTCCGTAGAGTTTTTGTTTTTGTAGCCATTTCTGAATGAAGCGGTTGTTTTACGTCAAAGTATCTGTATTGTTCGAAAGAACCAATCCTGCTCTACAAAAATCGTTGCTCGTTTTCGGAGCGAATCCAAATCATTTTGATTTATAACCTCTCAAAGCAAAGTATTTTGAGAGGCAAAAATTGGCGATTTCGGCAACTGCACTTTCCGCATTTGGTCCGTACCCCGCAAATTGTTATTGTCATATGTAGGCGGGATTTAAGTAGCAACCAAGATTGGTATACTGACAAGTTTGCAGCACGCCAGTATGCTTAGAACCGTTTGAACAACGTCCCAATAGATGTTGCCTTCGACTGCTGCCGCTTGAGTTTTGCGCTTTGTTTAGCGACAGAATGTGTCGGTCCTCCTGTCGGGCCTAGTGGAATGGATGGGTTCTTCTAAGTGGTGCAGATGTATGAGTAGAAGCTTTGGCCAACATTTTACGCTTCCTCAAAATTTTTTTGAAGCGGGGACTTCTTCAAATTGTACCAAACGCAAAACATTCTACACGCATGGTAAAAGCGCGCTTAATCCTTCTTTATAGCGTCTCCTTAGATAAGGCTACTTTTACATGCACCGTAGTCCCGTAAACAGTCGTTTTTCATCATTTATGACAATTTCAGATGAGAAATCCCACTTGTGACTCCATATATGGACCGAAAGTTGCAAGTGCCGAAATCGCCAATTTTTGCCTCTCAAAAAATTTTGCTTTGAGAAGTCATCAAGGAAGGGGATTTGGGTTTGCTTCAAAAACGAACAGCAGTTTTTGTAGAGCAAGATTTTCTCTTTTCAATGGTACAGGAACTTTGCCGTAAACCAAACGCTTCTTCTTGAAACGGCGACAAAAATAAAAACTCTACGAATTTATGAAACTACCTAATACACAGGCAACAAATTCGTCATACCATCTTTTCGGTGGTCTTCCAATTGGACGCTCCGAAGATTTTTGAGTCCGTTTTAAAGTCTATCGTCTATCTATCGTCTTCTCCTTTCATTATATGACCAGCTTATCTATAATCTTACACACGTAGTCTGCTGGGTGACGAAAAAATTGTCTTACTTAGGTTGGAACTAGATTTTATGTTAATGCTGTCTGAATTCGGTTACTTGGGGAGCCTCTTCTCAAATGTTTAGTGTGCTGTTTGCAATGCCTTCTTAGTTGTTGAACCAGCCCACGGCTGCATAACACAGAGCCGGGAGAGATTCCATCAATAAGATGAACATCTAGCTTCGGGGCAGCGTGATTTTCTGTAGAATTACTCCAACGTCCAAATGCCGCCTACCGCCTGTGTTGAGTGAGAGCATAAAAGGTTTTTGTTAGGGGAGGGGGGGGGGAGTAATAAGCGAAAGCATGTCTAGAAGAAACTAAATAAATAGTCATGAAAGTGTGGGAATATCTGTGTAAGCACCATGATATCAGGATATTCGAAGAAATGGCATAGAAATGGACAATGAAGTGAGCAAAGGAATGGCGAGTGAATACGATTATAAAAATGTTAAAAAGCTTGATAAACAAAGTGGTGAGTAACATTGCTATAATAAGAAGATCAAGGGAAGAGTATGCATTTCTAGAGTGAGTAAGCTGAGATCAACAAACGGTCGATGAGGGAAGCATGGGTCTTTACTGGTATCTGTGGACTAACAAGGAAACGATACTTGGTGTCCGTGGCCTTTTGAGATGAGATGTATACCATTACACTCATCTTGGAGCGCTGATTCCGAATCTGACTTCCGTTTCTGCTAATCGTTTCCCTAACAGAAGTTATGAAGGATTTTTGCGTCAAAGGAGACGTGTTGGGAATGCCAAAACCGCCGCCAAGATGTGGTGTAGTGGCTAATGCGAAAGCCTCGCAAGTTAATGTAGGCTTAGGTTCGAGTCCTCTTGTATTTTTCAGTTTTGCATTGCCTCAATCGAATTTCTTTTTGAAAGTTCCTCGGCCGCATCTCTCTTAGGCAACCAATGACGCGAATTCCTTCATAACTTCTTTCAGAGAAACGATTAGCAGAAAATGAAGTCAGATTTGGAATCAGCGTTTTAAAAAAAGTGTGATGGTATACGTTTCATCTCAAAAGGCCACGGACACTAAGTATCGTTCCCTCGTAAGTGCGTACGCGCAGTAAGATGATATAAAAAATTTGACCGAAAAATGAAAGAGTTGGCTTGAACAAATGAAGCTATAGTCGAAAACAACCAAAACATTTGCAAACAAAACTCGAGCGTTGACGTCACGAATATGCGATTTTTAGTCTAGCTAGGGTCGTATCAAACAAGAACTTTGTAATCAACACTGAAAGCATCACAGCGTTACCACGTTTACAAATACAAACCAACTTCATTTATTACTGATCGGCGTACACGTATAGCATACCCACTTCCTTGTAATAGATTTTGAATTCAAGCTTCATTCCTAATTTGGCAACCGAAAAAATTATTTCAGGAAACTTTTTTACAATTGTGGTCATAGTTCTGCATCCAACGATGCGAACTGGAACAAACTACTTTCTGGCAAACTTGGCATTGGCTGATTTACTGGTCGCAGCATTCTGTATTCTTCAAAATATGGTACATGTTGTAGGATTTGATCACGGAAATTGGCCATTAGGTTTGTTTCACAATTGCTAGGGCCGTATCAAACATTACCTTAACAGAATTTAGTCATGGGTTTTCCGCCACATTAGATAGCACGATCTTTCTTCTCGTTTAACGCATGAAAGAAGGGCTATCTTTTGACACCATCAGTATATCAATTTCAGGAGAAGCCATGTGCTACATGTACGTGTTTATGCTGCACTTCATACCATGCTTAAGCGTCGGCATTCTTGTTTGTGTATCGATTGAAAAATATCTGGGTAAATTGTTTTTTTTCTTATCGAATCCCACCGAATTAAGTTGTTAATTCATTGTAGTTTTTATGCATCCGTTTTCAAAATGGACGCAACAAATCTTACGCCGTCGTGTACGATTTATGATGACTTTTGCGACTTGGATTCTCAGCATTGCATCCAACATACCGTATGCGATAAATACCCGCCTCTACCGTTTCGGCGAGAATGCGGCCGCTTGCGCTCGAACTGATACGTAGGTTCCTCCGATCGTTATTGACTTGAGTAACGGATGGAGAATCAGGTATAGTGGGTATTTCAGCCTACATGTGTGGGTTACTGTGTCGTTCTTCCTGTGGTATATGCTACCATTGACTGTGCTGGCGTTGATGTACGCAAATATCGGCATGATGCTGTGGAGAAGCGGAAGTTGCGTGATCACCGTAACTAGACCAAGCAGCGGTCAGTTTTATGCTGCAGTTGTTTTAAGATTTATGGTTGAAGGCAGGGTCAGGTCAAACAAATCAGTGGCCGTCTTTATTAGGGTAGAGATCCCAACACGACGTTTGTGCATGTCGATCTTACCCAGTGGTTTCGCGAATCCACGAAAGTGGACCCACTTTGCGGAGCCCTCTGTGCTCGTTGTACCATCGAACAAATCCGAGGTTACGCATACGGAAGCTGAAGACGAGCCTTCAACGAAGCAGTTATTCAATTTGTAGCTTCTAAAAATTCTGCGCTTAACTTCTTTTTGAGAAAGATTCGATTTTGATCCGCACACATATACAGTACTACGTGAGAGCTTGAAGGCACCGTCCATCCAAATTTTCGACTTCCACGTTATTGTCGTTTCAGGGCCTTCTTATTTTCCTGATTACGAATATGAAGTCGAGAATGTGCGAAAACACCGACAATCCCCGTTCCGGAGAACCCACAGGCCGGCTTTCCGGAACGGTGATTGGATGAGCGCGCACAAATGGGCGGGCATGGATGGGGGAGGGCGGGCATGGATGGGGGTCTTCGTGCATCTTCGCTTTCCGAAGCGATTTTCTCGCTTCCGAAGCGGCATTTTGTGCTGCGACTTGGGCCTTGGCTTCATAGGAGGCCCTGCTATTATATCCTGCCAAAAGCTCAACACCCTCAACTTAGGGTGGACGGTGCCTTTAAAGTTGAATTCTTCGGCCGCAAATGATGATTCATACAAACCTCTCACGAACTGCAAACTTGATCATAAATTCTTGCCTATTAGCGGTCTACCGATAACTCACAACATTTGTACTCAAGAAGCCACCATTGCAGTCGTTCAAACCTACAGCGTCTTTGCTTTTTAGCCTTGACGAGACTTCCACTCGTCCGAAACACAAACGAAGGCTTCACAGAAAGCATTCCTGCCTATTTTGCTATCTAAGGAGAAATTTTGTAATCAGTGTAGCCGAGAGGCGTACTTAAGCAAATTATCTGAAATCAGTTTTTGTCTGAACACTGTTTCTTGATTAGTTTGTGGTTTTTATAGTCGAAGCAAACTTACCATGGCTTATTTCAAGCTTAACCTTTGCTATTCAGATTCACAAAGCAGTGGCCATACGGGTCTCACCTACCAGATGTCGAATGGGCGTGCGGTGGTTTACAAACAAGATTCGTTGCTACAAGTTCCCGAGGATCCACAAGTGGAAAAACGACAACGAGATTTGACAGAAAGTCGCAGAAAGGTTCCGTATATGCCGCCTGCACTACGCTATTACGATAGCGCCACACCTGCATGGGTTCGTTGTCGTGACGTTGTCATAACAAACACTTCCAAACACTGCATGTGACCCACTGCACTTGTTAATGTACGACAGCATGCCTGTAGTGACTATAATCAGTTGCTCAAGCTTTGTAAATGGCGTGTTGCTGCAAAAAACCTAGCTTAATTGAGGGGAGGGTGGAGCAAGGGAAGGAAAAAAGCGCAAAATCTAACTTGTTTTATGAAAAGCATCCAAAATTGCACCTACTTGTTGCCAAAGCACATTCCTGCTTTGGAAACATACCCTTTTTGCTGTGTATCACTAAGCCCTTTGTGTGCATGAAAGTCCCTGCGGCTCTCCAAAAATTTTTTCTTATGTTAAGTTGAATTTCCAAATCTTCTAGCAAGTATTTCAAATACTTACTACCAAAGCAAGTCACTTGCAAAGTTTTTCAACTCAGAACTTTTCTGAAATTTCACGCCCCATAGGGAGAAAGGGTGCCGCCTTGACCACGAACTTTTATGTATAGTGTCCTGAACGTAAATCAACGCCAACAAATAGTTGACTAAAAGACTTGAAGTTGAAGTGTGAATTCATGGAAACCTTATTCAGGGGGAGGCGTATTTGGCAAGCTGATCACGAATTTCATACAATAGCGCCATTTCTGGGGTCAGGTACCTCTGTGAGTGGGGTGCCCTTTGAAAGTTTTGTCTAGGAGTTCTCGAGCATGCTGGACAAGGTTGTGTTCACAGTAGCCACGGAAAAAGCCTTTATGCATCTGGTGATCGGTACGGTATTCCGAACTTCTGTTCCGAACTGATAAGTTGCTTTGCGAACAATATGGTTTCCCGTTGCATCATTCGGATTTACTCAGACATAAGAACGCAAACTCTGCAGAAGTGGATGTTGAATTGGATGTTCGTGCTTAGTGTGCCAAGTAGTCCTTTAAGCAAAGTCGTAGCATAATCCACTAATCTATGTTCTTGGAACCAGGATCATGTGGGGTGTGGCGCACACCTGGGGGTGTATCGAGGGGAGGGAGAGTGAGTAAAAGGCCTGATTGAAGTGACACTGGAGGTAATTAAGAAGCGATATTCGTTAGTGGTATTTATGTTAGGCAACTCCAATATGCAAGACAATCACACAGAGATGTCAATCCATCACCGTGTACATGCTGTGAGCATACGAAAGAGACCCTACCGAGCATAATAAGCATCATTCTCGTAACTAGCCTGGAGGAAACCGCTTTGAATCAAGCTTTAGCGGTCTACAGTTTCTGAATATTAAGCTACCTGACTGAAATGGTCATTTTCAAACATGTTTAACTTGGAGTGAGTTAGGTGCCTTTCTTTACACACAATACAAAGCACAATACCTTGTTGGTACACATCAAAAATCTTACTTTCAATACAGTCTAACTGTATGATTGTAGAAAAGAAGGTATAGAATTGTAGACCTTGTCGAAATCTCGTTGATTTTGCTTTGAGTGATTTATGCTTTCAGCCAACGTTACAGACAAACGATAACCAATCAGGCTTAAATCACTTTTGGGAAATCTGCGAGACTGAGGAGTCCGATAACCTAAATTCATTTTTTTTCTTCAAAAAAGCGAAGCCTACTTGGTTTATGCTCATCTTCAATGATGGCTAGAAGCATAAATCATTGACAACGAAAATGGGATAAACGAGATTTTGGCCAGTCCTGAATCCACAGCTCGGCGTTCTTTAGAATGGTGTTTGTGATATGTAATAACAAGGAGTAATAGATTGTATTAAGTGCAAAAGGAGTTAACTAGCTCACCTTCAATACAAAGTTAATCTGGGAAATGACCATCTCATTAGGATAGCTTCGTATTTGGAAAATCGGGGATCGCTAAAAGATGGTCCAAAGAATTTAATTGACAGTTACGAAATGATGCTCTGTATGCTTGGCAGGGCTTCTTTCTTATGCTTAGTAAATAAACGTTGCTTAGAGGGATTTTATAGAGGCACATTCCTGGGAGACGGGGAAGGGAGGGGAGGTATCTGGTGGTGGTGTGCCAAATTTTGCATAATCTCGCTTGAGACAACTAGCATGAAGCAGGACCATCACAATTGCATGCCAAATATTAGGTTGTCTCAAAAGTAAGCTCCATTTCTAAGTAAATTGAACTGTTTCCATTTTCTTAACAGACCTAGGGTACCATTCGATAGGGCGGATCAAGCTCTACAAAGGAACCACCAAAGATCCACCTAAGTTGTAATCCAGGCAAAATTTGGAGCCAAAAATCATTGTTAAAGATATTTCAATATTGGATCTCCTTCAAGAAAATTCGTTTGGACTTCCAACTTGTCTTCAAATAATAGACACACAGTAGTTCCCAAAAATGTATTTGGTGGATTCTTTCCGGGGTTCAGAACTGAGAAATAAAGGTGGTCCGAAAATGCCGAAATGCCACTTTTTTCGAGTTTTTCATGTAAAACTGGGTATTTCACGATCATGAGAGAACGTACAGGGGTGAAATTAAGATTATAATAAAAAAGGTTTGTTATATACAATGACATATATGGGAGGGGCTGGGAGCGGACTGTGCCATTTGTGGACTATCTTTAATATCTCGCCTTCTATGAAAAAATCCGGTAGGCACATTTGAGTACTACTATGCGCCTGCTACATAATGACCAAGTTGGAAGATGATGATCTTGATGATCTGAAGCATGATCTTCTCTATTGAATGATACCCTAAGTCTACTAGGAAAGCAAAAACTGCTTGAATTATTGAAAAAAGGGTTACTTTTGAAACAGCCTAATAGTTGCAATCACTAAAAAATTGACTGTGCCAATGAGAGATTTGCGCATGAAATCTACGGATGTTTATTTACTGAATTAATAAAGCCAGAAAAGCAAAGCACAAGGGTATCTTGCATGATGCTTGCATACTATCTAATCTCTATCTATGCTTGTCCTAACATTGAAATTTAGGTGGTTCGTCTACTGATTGTTCTTGTCGCATCATTTGCAATTCTGACGCTTCCACATCACGCTCGCTTACTCCACACGGTGCGCATTTATATTTAGATTAGAAATAATATTTTATGAGAATCTTAATTCAAAAAAAGAGCAAGAGTCTATATAGTTGGAAAGAAAGTTTCTGAACAACACATAGAATATATCTCTACGGCAACATGAGTTTAAAGACAGTGGCATACGCCGTGACGAGGAAAAGTCCAAGCTGATCTCGAAGATGCACGTAACTGACGTTATAAGTTGAAACTTGAAAACCAGAAAAACATTGTATTTCTCCACACCCACTGCTCTGTAGTATGACTTAAATCCATCGTCTTCTTCCAGTGGCATGAAGAGATGGTGTTTCATGTGTGGCGGTATCTGATGGGAGTTAGCATTTGAATAGAGTGAATATCAGAGTTATCACATAATCCAGTGTCTGTCTACACTGGATTATGTGATACTGGAGTTGAGAGTGGCAACATCAACACATGCATCAGTCAAACATTACTGGGGCATAAAACTTAGGGTTGAGCCAGACCTCGCGGCGTACGCGGCGTACGCAGCGTACGCTCGGTATATTTTATAGGAGCATACGCGGCAAAGGGGTAAAGGGGTTGACTTGAAACAATTGCAAACAGGTCAGCTCGTAAACCATTCATAGTATAGTGCTCGCAATTTCGTCATTGCGGATTTGTGCGCAACGACAGGTGTTACACACTTACTGCATACCCACCGTCTGCTATGGCATGTGGTAGTTGTCCGGAGCAACATTTCGCTGGCTTTTTCTGCTAGGGTTTAGTTCTCCAGCGACAGTCACCGCGAATCGACAAAACTCAATGGTACTGCGTCGCTTTTGCTGCACTGCTAATTGGGCGATTTCGCTGCGGTTGAAAAGATGCTTGAGGAGTTGTGTAAACGTGCATTGATGTTTCAGTTTCTAGTAACGGAGGAAGGAAATCTTTTCTGAAGTAGTTGTACGAATTTTCTTGAGTTCTGTTGCATTCTTCACGATCATGATCTGTCGGGTGACTGACATCTACAAACCTAGACTGCTTATCTCTGAGGTGTTCTTTTTTTTGTGTTTTGAGTGTCTATTCCAGTTCAAAATAATATGAACCTGCTCACTCGCATGACTAACGGCTTTGATTGTGGCATATGATCACACATTTCTTTCGAAATAGCTTCTTTGGCATAGCCTGAGTGTGTAACCGTTACGTCCCTTTTGTCAAAGGTGATTCGCTTTATATGGGATTGTGCTGACATTGCTTATGGTATGTACCATACTGGCGGAAAATCGTGCCCACTAGCTCATGTACTTGCAAATAGCGATTTCGTTACAGTTTCCATCGCCCGAACGATCGAATTCTTCGGCATTGCGAAGTCGTGTAAATTTTGCCAGATGCTTAGCGCCTGTCGGAGGTCATGAGTAGTCCACACTGGGTTGATTTTGAAATGACGTACAAACTCAGAGGCAACCAACTTTTCCCTGTGTGTGGTAGCCCTTCTGGGTGACAGTCATCGTTTGCTTCTCGCTACTTATTTGTAAGAAGGAAAAAGCCGGGAAGCTTATGAAAACCCCTACAGCAATCTTGGCGAGGTTCAATAACTAAAGCTCAAGATCCTCAACATAAATGAAAAAAATCTACATGAAAAAAAAACAAGCCTTGCTTCTATAGATCTCACCTTTAGTCCGCTTCAAATGCAGTTACATGATACATTGGGTGCGGGGACTTACCTAATCGAAAGACTTGCCGCAGCATACCTTAGGTATCATGAGCAGTCAGATACGCAATTAGCATAGTGTACAGAGCCTAGTCTGGGTGTATTTTAAACCCCACCCCCGTCCATTGACTCTTTCGCGATGCATCCATCAATCATGAAACCGAGAATTCAATAGAATCCCAAAATTGATGTTCAGCAACTATCTACTCGATTTCGATTAAATTTCGATTAGGGGTTGGGGTTTTCTGAGGCACCCTTTTCAAATATGCTATTGGTTTTGCGCTGTCTTTTCTTACAGAAGCCGAAATTTTGCTTTGGTGAATTGACTTTTGCTTAAAAAATCTCGACAAAAAATAAAGCAGCATCTATTGCAGCATCATAAAACATCATACCTTAATGCATTTTTTTCTTCGTTTGAAACATGAAAAGAAAAACTACTCGAAACAAATTTGATCGTTTGTTAACGAAAAAAGCTTGTTGTTTACTGGAGCTCACGTTTTCTCGCAGAATTCCCAGTTTAATGCTTAGAGCAGAACAAATGTGATTTTTTCGCGGGCGTAGCACTTTTTTGTTTGCTGTTATCACTGTCAACATTTTTTAAATATCTGCTTGAAATTGCATAATCTCACACATTGTAGCAGAAAATCTACTGTTTGACTGAATCCATTCTGGCTTTACGATCTTTATGTGGCGAATCAGAGATATTTTGCTGCATTCAAATCATACTCGAAAAGTAAAGTTCAGCATTTTGGACTTACGTGATTCTCATAATCTATAACATTTTTGTCGAATGATTTCATATTTTTAAGTTAATGGGTTTTTTTGCATAAAATTGAGAATTTCTAATTCGGCACTTTCATATTCAGATTTGCCTTATCCTTCTGATTACAACCATCTTTTTTTCTTTCCATTAGCTCCAATTTAAGCCTCACAGCCTTCTTTTAGCACATTCTGGCGCTGAGCCAGCCTCGATGTCCTCAGGTATTGCCAGGTTTTCTGGCATGCCTTGGTTCTATACCAAAAGGTGCAATGTGTGGGCGGGGCTTAGCTTAGCGCTGTATCCTAAGGAGCATGAAATCAGCGAGCTCGCTATGCCTAATTATACCTCGCAGACACACACCCATGAGGTGCGAGATTATCTCGGGTAAGTAAGTTTCGTTCCCCGATGCACTTCCATTCTTGTATAGCATCAAAGTGCATATTAGTCTGCATATGACCAGAAACTTTCTTTCCAACCTAGGAGGTCGACACTTTCTGTCCTATCCTAGTATCCTTCATGCAACTTTGGTACTTAACCCTCTATAACAAGTATTTATCGCAGATGTGGAGTACGTCCCCACAGTGCAACAATGATTGGGCGATATTGCTGCAACCACTTAGCTACATCTCGTTGTTCCTCTCCAGCGCCATCAATCCTATTCTCTATGCCTTCCTATCGAAGCGATTCCGTGAAGCGGCCAGCGATATATTCTACTGCAAGTAAGTCTCGTTGGCGTGCTCAAGAGTTGGTTTCACAATTTCCGGACTCGCATTCTTTGGGCCGCATGCAATAAGATCCCGCTGGGGAGGGAATAGCAGCTTAAGAGAAAACTTCATATCCTAAGGCTGAGCAGATATGCAGATTTCACGCTGTCTACCTATCCGTAAGTATTCCCACCATCCTTCACTATGAACATAATGAACGGGAGCAAGAAGCTGTACAAGCCGCATTTTCCACTTTCTGTATTATCCCTGATGATCCCCAACTGCCGAGCATCTTTTCTTAAAAGTCATTTTTCTTTTTTTTGAAGACAGTAAAAACATTTTGAAGTTGTGCTGTTTATACCCAACAGTGCTGATCATGTTTTCAGTAGGAACAAGTGCTGTTTCGAAATCATGAAATTTGCGGTGAACCACATGCCGAAAGCGGGGGATTATTAAAAATCGGTTACCAAAAACTTACTTGTTCTTACATTAATAAGCATAGCACTGTTGGGTTAAATAATCAGTACAACTTTGAAAGGTCGTTGTTGAACTTGAAGGAAAAAAAATGACTTTGAGCAAAATACGTTCAGCCGTGGGGGATCATCAGGAGATCATACAAAAAGCTGGAAAACGCTTCTTGTAGAGCTTCTTGCCCCATTCATTATGTTCACAGTGAAAGATGGTGAGAATGCAAACAGCGTAAATCCACGTATCTGGAGCTTCAAAATACGAAGCTTTTTTTTGAAAGGTGCGGTCCCCTCCCCAGCGGAGATGTTGGTGCATGCGGTCCTTAGTCCCCTTTCAACGAGGGGATCATCCTCAGGAAGGGATCACCCCTATCATGAAAAAATGGCTGTGATACGTGCAATAAATGAGTAAGTCAAGAGTGGCTTAGATAGTGGCTAAGTTTTTGGTACTGTAAGCAACAAAAATGAATAAGGGGCTTCTTTCCGTTTTACTCTGCACTTGGGGCACCGTCCACCCAAACTGAGAGAGATGAGATTTTGATGCTATATAACAGCGAAGAATTTAGCTTAGCAAAGCAATTCCCCAGATCTCCCTGATGATGAACTTTGAAGCGAGAAGCACTCCAAAGATAGAACGCTGTTTTCGCCTATCTGTGAGGATTCGAAGATGACAAGTCCAAACTTGGGCTTCAGGATATACAGAAATGTTGAAAACCCTGTCCAGAGTTGTTATAGACCTGCCTTTCGTTAGGTTTATCAAATTGACACTTTTGTATATCCTGAAGCTCGACCAATTTCGGACTTGTACATTCAGATACCTACACGTTGATAGACTAAATTCCTCTTTTGCAGTGACTTGGGCGCCGGCTTAGTTGAAGTCCCACTATCATATAAGTTTACATTGTCCTCATCTACAGATTGGGTGGATGGGTGCCTTTAAGGAGGATACCCGCGTGAAGTTTAATACAATGTAATGGTCTAGCGTCAAAAAGCCTACAATAAATAGATAACTTCTCATTTGCCGTCGGTATGTTGACAGCAAAGGATAAGATTAGAAAATATACATTGTTGTTCTTAAGTTAAAAGGGAACATTCATTAAATAAAGTTTTTCAGCTTGAAACTAGCTAAATGTTGCAAACCAAAACTATCCCTTGACATGGCGAAATTGGTTTATTTTTATCTCATAATCAGATTCGATTTTCAGGCAGAGAATCGACTATCATAACCATCATCATGTCAGCCCAAGTGGGTCTAGTGGTGTTAGCTTGTTAAGCTTAGCTTTTTATTCTTGTCAAATACGAGGCTCAAAAAATTTCTGTAACAGTCTCTGATATTTCCTGCTTTCGTTAGGAGTAATGCGGAATCGATTTGCATAATATCAGATTAGACAATGCTTGATTTTAGAAAAGGTCTCCTATCAAATCTCAGCCGGTCACGATCGAGAACACGAACCATCGTCTCTGATTTACCAGAGGATTCACGAGCTTTGAATCCATCGGGCGGTATGATTCGCATGAATCGATTACGATAGAGTTGTCGCTAACATCATTCTCGGAGTCTCTTTATTATTGTATATTTCAGGCTTTGAGCATATCTACTAAATCACATCTTCTGTTCAAAAACAGAGTTTTGCATACGCTAGGGATCCTTGACTAGGACAAAAATATCAGCTTGAGGATTCGCAATAGAGATCTGTGGTTAAATATTTTGTTACTAGGATAGAAAAATTATCTATTTTCACATATGCCCGGTGACATTAGACCTCATATTTCAAAATCTGTTTATCCGTGAATTGTACACTTTTAGTTGGAATGTAAATGCTTCTCCTCTCTATATTTATTTGTAATTGGTAGTAGTACTGATTGCGATCTACGTGATTCTTTTCCACGGGTGCATGTATTTGCTGTATAGTGTTATGATAAAATTGTATGAATTGCTGTCAAGCCGAGGTTCAAAGACAGAATTCCCAAATGGCAAGCGAAGTACTCCCTTTTCTATCTTGCACTAGAAATAAAGCGTGATATGGTTTGGAAACTAAAGCGAAAATTATCAGCTCGCTAGTATGGTGCAAAGCAAAGTTTATGATAAAGCATATCAAAATTTGTGATAAACAGTTCAAAATCGTGGCTACCAGAGTTCTCTTCTTCTTGAAAGTCCCGGTTTATTCAACTCGAAAGTCTGCTGGCAGATATATCCTTGTTGAAATTTTCTAAAAGAAAACAATATGACCTTGTTTTGTGTGCAGTTAGGAACTACTCGCTGCGCATCGAACCTAGGCAAAGAGCTGTAGTTAACAAGCATTTCAGCAAAATCTGAGAACATTTCTCCACAAATTGACCTGCAATGCGCAAATCAATGCTTTATAAAATACGCTGCCACTTATGCGCATTGAAGCAATAAGGCAGGTGAACACAGACACGAAAAAATTTGGATACTTTCGAAGACTTTGCAGAGTTTTTAGAGCACCCAAATGGAGAGAGCAGTTGATTTAACTTTTTTTCTTTCTGAAAATTGACTTTTAGCCAGTAAAATGCATCGTTGCAGAAATTTACAATTTTGACTATTTTTGGATGCGCATTCTGTCACTGAGGAGGAAAGAGAGCCACAGAAGGCCAAATCTGAGCTGCTCTGTGGTTTACATTAAAGTTTTGTGCTGCGCGAATGGCACCAGTCTTATTGAAAGCTTGTTTCTCAGAGCTGCGAACCCTCTGCGCTAATGCAGCAAAATAGTTTGTCTAAAGCAGTTCCTCACCAATTTATATGTGACTAGCTAACATATTCGGCACCATTCATTCTTGTCAAGCACTTCTGATACAATTTCTATTCCGCCCCATTTTTGCACAACATTTTCGCGCCCCTGTCCCACTCAAGCCAGCTCCCTGACCTCATTGCGTTTGCAATCAGAATGCTCATTTACTCCTTGCACCAAAATCTTATCCAGCTCAAAATATGCAAAAAAGCGATGAGAATGATGAAAGCAGTAGTTTAAAAAAAATAATTTTGAGAAAGAGCCTTGCTTGTAATCAGCATTTTCACTTTCCTACTCTACTGTGCCAAATCCCAGCCGCGTAGCTCAAATTGCAGAAATTCGACAATAAATAACCTACGACGCCTGCCCTCGGGTATAGGGCCGGCCGACAATGAGGCTGGGTTCATACTGATTCCCATGTACCGAAACTCTTCCCGCACTGTTCCCGCACTGTGTTGGAACTGTTCCGGAACTGTGCTGCCTGCGCTGCAACCGCCCCGCACACGTTCTGAACGGCAAGAGTTGAAGAATTTTGACCGTTTTCAACGGTTTCTCTTCCACATTCATCTCATTTTGGCCTTATTCCTTTACTCCGCTCCCTTTTTGATCAGCAGAACTATGAACTCGAAGCGAGGCTGAAGAATAAGCGCTTTTCTGCTCTGCGTATGCGACGAAACGTGGTTCTCGTGCTCATCCATTTTCTCTTAGTTATTTTTTCTCAGACCTACTTCTTGTGTTCTAGGAAAATGGGATGAGTAAAAATTAAGCGGAGAGAAAATAGACGAGCACAAGATCACACGTTTTCTCGCATACACACAGAGCAGAAAGCGCTCATTCTTTAACCCCGCTTTGAGTTCGAAGTTCCCTGATTACAAAGAAAAGCGGGATAGATGAATAAGGCCAAAATGAGGGAAATCTGGAAGAAAAACCGTTGAAAACGGTCAAAATTCACCAATTCCCGCCGTTCAGAACGCGTGCGGGGCGGCTGCAGCGCAGGCAGCATAGTTCCGAAACAGTTCCAGCACAGTGCGAAACAGTGCGGATCCCCTTCTCCTGCCCCTAGTGCATATGTGAAGGTTTGGCCCCAATAGGTTTTCAGAGATGGAGTTTACTATTCCGCACATACAGACAGACGATAGACATAAAGCTTTATATATAAGACTTTCGGCCTTGCTGGGCGCCTTCTGCGCACTCAGACAAATTTTTGGCCCAGCGGCCGGCACACCATGGGTGGGCGTTTAGTGTTGCCGGACCGCTCGGTTTCTGCTGTGTCATTGCTGTGCGCTCGTCGATCGCATGAAAGCCTAGCGATCTGATGAGTAACACCGGCCAAACGCAACTAGCTTTTCGGACCACTTCCGTTTGAGCCAATGCTGCTACAATTTAGCGATCTATTTGTGTGCAAATGCGTACGAAACCAACAAAAAACATTTACTTCAAATCCAAGAGAACCATACAAATTCTATGAAGATCAAGAAGAGGCGCTGAGTTTGCGAACGTTTTAAGCGCTTCAGATCTATGGAAAGAAATAGAAATGGAACCCAAATTGATTGATTTTTCCAAAGCTGAGTAAGAATCAAAGAAAAATAATTGTAAACAAGAACAACATATGATCAACTACAAATATGCCTCAGAAGCAAGAGAAGGAAGGAAGAGAATATTTTAGTACAAAAGTTACCAAGTCTACAATGTGAAGCCACATGAGTAGAAAATGAGAGAAGAAAATAACAGGCAATAAAAAGGTAATCAATTAGGTCGGGTCCATCTGAAAAACGTTCGCTTACTCCTCGGGGGGCAGAGCTCGTTTTTCACTCTGAAGTATATTATTTTGTCTTTCGGAAAAGTAGAGAGACTCAACTCAAGTTACTTGGAATCCATTTTGTTTTAGCGCAATCGTATTCATAGCTGCGAATATCCCTCCTAAAAACGGATTGCGTGAGAAATGCACATTCCAAAAACTCACTTGCATTGCCATTTGCAAGGCCTTGAATATGACGTTTCTGTAAATAATCCGCTCAGCGGATAAACTTAAGTTTCGCGTGCCTTTCTTCTTCACTTTTCCCAAGACTGGCGAGTACCTAAAAAGATAGGATAAGTGAAAGAGTCGTACCAAAATCAACACAGCGCCTGGAATTGAACACGTCGTGGGCTGGCGCTTTCAATACGTGGTGCCATAACCGATCACGTCTTCCATGAAATCTAAAATGAAAACTAGATAATGAAAAGTTTTTCATATAAAACTTACCAAGAAGGGTCGATTCAATCGCCGAAGGTAATCTGCAAGCGCTCATTGCGCCCGCCGCGCTCATTCAATCGCAACGAAAAGTTTCAGATTTGGTTTGGAAAGACTAGGCAATTTGCTCCCTCAGCTTGGTTGCAAATATTCAAAAGCCCATCGACGTTGAAGTGCTTAACCCGCGATGTGGCGTGGTGAAAAAACTCCTAGTTATTATCTATTGCTAGATGAATCAGTCAGCAATTTAAGAAACGTGCGTCATAAATAGTGTGGCTAAATTTGCCAGTTGCCTTCTGGTTAAAAAGACTCTGGCTGCGCGATACATATCGATTGTTTCATTGATGAGGCACTCGCATAGGGTGTCTTTGGGTATGTTACTCACGTAAAGTTCCCTTCGAGTTGTTGACGACGTTGACTGTTTCAAAGAAAAATCTACATCAAATGCTTTGTAATTGACTGCTGACCATGCAATTCGTCAGTGCCCCTCTCTTGCCTGAACTGTTCCGCTTCATCGCGCGCGTGAGTTTGCGGCGCCTGTGTTCTAATGAATACGTAGTGGAAGCTTTTATTGGAATTAACGTTGAAAAGCGTCTGACTGCGGACGAATTTTGCGCTCCTTTCTTCGGAACCCGTTCTTTTCGTGGGACTGCGATGCCTCGTATCGGACATGTCATGAGATCGACCTTCTAGCATCAGAGACAGTGCTAAACAAGTTATATATTCGTATGAAACTTTGGGCTCCTCAGCCATAAAGATTAAACCTAGGCGGCGGAGTAGGAGAAAGTGAGAAAGGTGTTCTGGTTCTGCTGGGAGAAGTATAGCGAGGGAAAGCTTCCCTCTCTGGCGAACTCGTTGGAGAGCACCGGGAAGAGGATTTGGTTGAGTGCTTCAATCCCTAAACATCTGAATGCTTTCTCCATGCATAGTAGGTGTCGCCACACTAGACACCTTGACACGTGCCTCAAGGTGAGAAGGGTGACTTGCAAGTAGCTTGACGGCGTCACCAACTAGAGACTTCTCCAATTGGTGAATCGCTGTTACGGAAATATCATTTAGAAACAAAGTTTCTTGGTACAAGGAAATCAGAAAAAAGTTGACCGTTCCCGCTGAAAGTTATGCGTTGGACTTTTTCTTGATTTGTAGAGTATGAATGGACCAACAGTACCGTGCTTCTTCTGCCGACGAAATTCGGAAACTTTTGTCTCATCATAAAGAAACAAAGAGAGCTTAAGGAGGAGAGAAGGGGGGGGGGGGGGGGAGGAGGAAGAGGAGTGTTGCAGTCCTTGCCTTAACTCCCTAATCTCATCTACCTAGAACATTTTCGGTCTTGCAACTCTCCTTCAATTGTGTAAGATGACAGAACCTATCTATGCGTCACTCGTTACAAAAAGGCGGCGGCACATTTCAACGTAACAAAAGAAGCCAAACTAGCGGGGTCTAATCAACTATATATGTAACCTGAGATGGAAGCGCTCATAAATCTTACCTGTCTTTAAATTAGAGGGTCCAAAGTTTTCCCTATCGCGTGTTGGACGACTTCCGTGTGTGAAATCACGGGTGAATCGCAATGTTTCGATGCAAGCTTTCAAGGCACTCATGCTTACCTAGATGACTTACGACGAGGCATGGGTTCCTTTACTTCTTGTTTTACCTTCAAGTTAGTTTTTGACTTAAGCATTGTTCAGCAGTGCAGGTTGCAGTATACTAAAATTAGATTCCGTAGTGTTTTGGCGCACGCATAAGATGGATAAACCGATGCGATGGTCAGAATCTACAAAGCAGAATCCTCGATAATCTAGAAAATCATGCAATAAAACCAATGTCATGATTAGAATAATTTTCATCAAAACAGATACATAAACAGCCAAACACTTTATAGAGTAAATTGTGTATAAAATTCATATATAATTCATATAAACAGCCGAGCACTATCAGTAAATTGTTTGTAGCGA